AAGCATTTAATTGTCTAGTCTGGAATTTCTTCTTATAGCTACATAGATGGCATTAAATATTTTTGATATCAGTTAAATGCATATCTCTACTTAAATAAAACCAGTTAGAAAAACAAACTTTAGTTTAATTCAAAAAATAACTTCCTTTTAAAGTTCTTTAAATAGGTTTGTAAGAATTCCCAGTGACAACACAGAGGGTTTCCTTTCACATTTTTTGGCTGTTCTTATAAATTCTTATCTGTTCCTGGAGGAAACAGGATGTACCCTTTTACCCAAGGACTTGCACAACATTGTTGCGAAAGCAAAAAGTCTTTGAATACGTGAACTCGGTTTGGAAAATATTTTTCTACATTTTCTTTTTTTTATTACAACAAATTACTACAGCATTTCCCTCTGATTTCCATGTTTATGTGTGTATTATTTTTGGTGCGTGGTTTCATCTGAATGAGACAATCTGTCAAGATTGCCTTGGTAGAAATTCAACACAGAGCTCAGCAATAAAAACTCAAACTCCTTTTTTTCCCCCCATTAAACTTTTTACTCTTACTTCTAAGGGTCAAAAATACAAAGTGTTCACATTCGCAGGGCTCTGCATTATAACATCTTTCCCACCTTGCTGGCTGGCCTCAGCAGATGCTCTCAGTGAGCAGGTGATTTTGGTGCAGACCGTGAACTCTGCAATGCAGAGGCAGTCTGAATGACTTAACACAAATTGTTGTGTAGGTATCATTAAGCTCGATATAAACATCCCCCAACACTGAGACCTAGAATCTGAACTCACTGCACACTGAAGGAGACTTTTAGATATCTGAAACATAATGAAAAATTTTTTTTTAACTTGAATTTTTTCTGTGAGTTATAGTTGCTATAATATTTGAAGAATATAAGCACCTGAAATTTTATGTTGTTTAAGCTTATTACATGGTGTTTTTTGATTGGCTGTTATATAATTAGTATGTAAGGCATTTGCTGATTGTAGAAGTCTGCCAGTCCAGGAGTCTTTAGACCATCACCATCTAATGGTGATGGGTTTTATTTTTGTAAGCAAACATAACTGCTGCAATCTAGACTTATTTCTTGAAGAAATGTGAAGTGCACGAAAACAGAGTTGTCCTTTCTTAGATCCCAAGTGAACGGTTTTGACTGCTTCTTACAGCCAGATTAATATTGTTGAACGGTTTTGGAAAGAGCAAGTTAGCAGTTCCTCTCTACTTGCTCTTCATTTACACATATATGGTGGTTGTAATTAATTAAGCCTCTCAAAGTGGCAACTGAAGCTGTCATATTGATCTGAGATGATAAAGCGTGAACACTTTCTCATGTTTTATAAATGAAAGTGAGAAAGCCTTTTTTTTAAAATCCAGGTCAGTGGTTGTTTTAAAACCATTTACATTCGAATTTTAAAGTACCCTCTTTTTTTGGTGCTTCCTTTAAGTATTGAGAGTTTAAGTTTTATTATCCCAAACCAATTTAGGCTTGAATGTTTTTTGAAAACCTTGTTTTGGGTTAAAAAAACAAAGGAATTTTACTTTTGCATTTGCATTTGGTTAAAATAGGCTGAATGGCAACAGATGCTCTGTTTATATGTTGCTGCTTTGCTCCAGGAACTGAAATCATTGTATTTCAGATCCAGGCAACAAACACAAAGCCAGTGTAAAGTGTTCTTGGTGGTTTATTCCTTAGCAACATAATCCCACAGCTGTAAGTGCACAATTGAGATCAGCCATGCAGAAAAAGTGTTGCACACAGACTTAAGTACAATAACTTTCTTTAGCGACTTTTAGTTAAATCAGGGAACTTTGCTGGAAAAGACATGCCATATGCCCCCTCGGCTGCACGACAATGAAGAATGGTTGCACGCTGATTCCACTCCCGACTTTCACCATTCATATGCTAATCGAAAGCCCCCAGCACACCCCCTAATTACTTATCCTTCATGTCCTGATTCACTTCATTGATCAGCAGACACATTCAAGACCTCAGAAAAGGAACCTTTCTTCAAAGGTCCACTTATATGCTAAACACAAAGAAACAGATTTCAACACACATCCACAGGAATGAGGCGCAGCTCTCCACCTGAGTCAAATCAAATAAGTTTTTAATCATCTTTTACTTTGCGTGGAAATGATAGGAGATACAGTATTTATCATAATTAGTTGAAGGGGTGTTCATATACAAGATAAAGTATGGTTCAGGGTTCAGCTTCATTTAGACTTAAAGTCCACTTGTCTGGTTTGAAAAGTTTGCGAAGCATTTTTTTTCAAAAGTGAACCAAAATCCAATTCTTTCATACGCAACATTTTGGACAAAACCTTGTGACACAGTGACATATTTCTATGATGAATAAAGAAGACAAGCAACGTATTGGTAGATTATACAAACAACTTCAATGTAATTCAGAGGAATTTTACATGAGCGTCAAACACAAAAAGTGCTTACTTATGCAGTGGAGCAGAAACTAAAAGGAAAGATGCTTTACATTTCAAGTTTTGATAGTTAAAAAAATGAAATTTATATGTATATACTCCCTTTATTCTGTTACCTTTAAATAAAACCCAATAAAGATAACCACCCTCTTAAGGGACGTAATTAATGTGTTAGAAAAGCTCATTATGAGGATCGAGTTATGCAGACTAGGTACTTCAAATGGTTGTGTTTACAAAAAGTTTACCTCATGAACATTATTAGTCCTTTAATGTAAGAAAATGTAAGGTATGTTGCCCCCCCCCTCCTGTCTGCATGGATGTGTCCGTCATCCCGTGTGACCGGTGTATCACACACAGCACCGGGGTCCTCTATAAATAACGTGATGTTCACTTACAGAGTGAAATGGGTGGGGGATGTCTAGGCAGATGGATGAAGTGTTGCGAGCATGTTTGTGTTGTTCCCATCTTCTTTGCTTACTTACTGCTCTTGGTGGCCCATTAACTTTTATATGAGACAATTCAATTGTGTGGAGTGCAGTCTCTGACCTTCAGGCGCACAGTCACATTCACAGAGCGCCTCAGGCTACAGTAATAATTTCTGGGAGCACGCAGCAGTCACCCGCTCTTCCAGCTTAAGCAGCATGGTGGCTAACCTCCACTCACCACATGGCAGGACGGGTTACCCAGCTGCACCGCTGAGTGATTGTGCATGTTTTGGCAACTTAATGTCAGATTAAAGCTTAATACTGACTTGGGTTGTCACTTGGTAATTTTTCCCCTGAGGCCTGCAGATGGATCACTTGGAGTAACATTTTAGCTCTGATATGTTTATCAGCTTGTGTGTTGGCTAGAGCTAATAAACTGTCAGTGGGTCTGTCGGTGTAAAACAACATTTTGAGGCTTAAGTGGAAAAAATATCCTGAGGTGGAAAGAAGCATTTGGCTCCTTCGTTCATGATGGAAAACCTGATCCCACATTCTGGTGAGTTAGTTTAAATATAATGGTGTTCTTAAAATATACATACAGTTGAAGACAAACATAATATAATTTTTGCTTTGGGATCTGTGCAAACATACACCCTAGATGGTGAGTCTTTGGATGAACTGAAAAAAAAAATGAGACAGTGTGAGACATTTTAGAGGTATAGGTCTGACGATCCGATGGTGGCGGATAAACTGTAAGTTGTTTTTCAGCCACTATTAAGCAACACATACTCAAAACCTTGACCTTCCACCTACCTCCAATTGCTTGTTTTTTTGACCAAGAGTTGCATATTTCTGCAGGGGGCAAATGCATCACTGGGAACAGGTTGAGGAGCTTCACAGATAATCTCCCATAGCATGACATAGCGACAGTTATAGCAAATATGTGTAAAATATATATTTTTATAAATGTCACATACTGCAGCTTTAAAGTGTCCAAAGTCTGTCTCGTGTGTTTCTCTTTTCAAGTGAAATGCAGCAAAAAAAAAAAAAAAAAAAAAAAAAAAAAAAACTGACACCATCTGCACAGCAGTGAACCAGTTTTGAAACTACTTCTTTTTATAACTCTCTCAAAAAATAAATGTAGAATGTCAAAACTAAAGCATTTACTTGTATATCTGGATCTCATAATATTTGCGTTGACTTATTTCAACAAAGCTACGTGATAACTGGATAGGTCCTCATGAAACGAGCACATACTTTGACTTTGTAATGTAAATACACTTCATTTTATTACCAACAATAAAGCCTCATAAAACAGCTTTGAGAGAAACCTGTACACACATGCATTTAAAAATACAATGTCTTATGCTGAGTTAAATATTCCTTAGTTTCAGCAGAACATTAAAAATGTATTTGTGACATTGCGATACAACCTTCAACTTTTATTGTTTTTTTTTCTCGTCACAACTGCTTCTTTGTCAAAACTAATAATTTCCTTCCTTTTGTTTATGAGGCCACCGCAGGAGGTCCATGCTGTATACTCAGACAAAGAGGAAAGCTGCGGTACTTTATTGCAGATTGGATTATAGAACCTCACCGTGAATCGTTTTAGTGCAAAACACAAACCTTTATCACTATCTCCTAAAACCAGCTGCGCTGAGGAGCCCTGACTTCCGTGCATTTCCATGGAATAGGCGACACTCCCCCTCTAACTTTCTCTCCAAATGGTACAGTCCATTTAAAAAACGTTCTTGTCATCTTTCAATGCTCTGTGTCCTTTCAACAGTCAGCTGCGGGGTGCACATTTCACTGGGGCAGTGCTGGCTCTCGGCTCTCTGGCACACACACACACACGCAAGCGCACACGCTGCTACGGAGCTCTCAGAAACGCGCACACGCACGCAGGCATGCTTTCACTCTGACACACACACCATCTCCGCTGAAACGTATACTCCCTCCTGCAAACACACATTTCCCCTGAACCAGATGCGTCTCTTAAACTGGAAAGGACACACAGCTCAGAGGATATAAGTTTGTGTTTTCATGAGCAGAAAAGAGTGAGAGGACTGAGAGAAGGATTTTATGCCCTGTCAGGAAATGGTCAACTTGTCGGCATGACACCGTGTTTGGATTCCCCTCTGTCCCCCAGGCAAAAATCCTGAAAATGATGGATGACAACAAGCAGCTGGCCCAGCGCATCGATGGGGCCATTCAGTCGGCCAGCCAGGAGGTGACCAACCTGCGGTCCGAGCTGAGCGCCACCAGCCGCAGACTTGCTGAGCTCGGGGCGACGGACTCCTCCGCCAGCATGCTGGAGACCGTGCAGCACAACCACAACGGTAAGAGAGCCACTCTGGGCGCGCAGCGTGCCTGAGTCGTGTGCTGAGAGATGGCAAGAATGTGGAGAAGAGTGAGTGCCCTCCAGACCCAGCTTGCAAAGTGTCACCACTCGTGAGGAAAGTGCTTCTTTTAGAATCAGAGAGCGGCTGGTTTGAGCAAGATTGGGAGAGAGGCTTCTGTTTGACTCGTGTCCGCTCTCAGGTCTCCCAAAATCCATTCTGGTGTTGTATAATTAACCCCTTGAACTTTTGAAGGTGGATAGAGGTTGGGGTGTGTGTGGCGCACTTGTGTCTAGGCAGAGTGGGTAAAGTTACAACCTCTTTCTACTCTGTGTGCTACTTCTCCCTTGGCTGGACAGATGATCTGCGTCTTTTGAGAAAAGGAAAGAGGGCTGGATTTGGGGTTGCTGTGGGTTACTGTTACCAAGCCGCTTGAATGGCTGCCCAGTCCGTCCTCTTCATATGTGTGCAGGCTGCAGCTGCTTTGTCCCGTTTTTTAATTTATATACTTACTCTGACATCTATATGGGTAACAGATGTTAGTAAGAGTTTCTTCATTGATGCGTGATTGCTTTCGTCCCCACAGCATGTGGGGAAATGGGTTTTACAGCTCCTTTAAACTTCTACCACCACACACACACACACACACACACATACGCAACTCCTGCTGTTTCCATAGCAGTCAGCTGGTACAGTGAACCCAGGGATCGGATATGGTCCGTCCGCCTTGGCTCTGCTGTGAAATAACATCTCCCTCCGACACTTCCGAGATCAAGCTCTCTTAACAGACCTGGGGTATTTCCTTCCCTACATGTGAACACAGTTGGTTAACTTTCCGTTTTTGCTGTCAGTGAGTTTCTCAGTCCTCTGGTGACCCCTGGTTTGTTTTTTTTTAAATTAGGGAAATTGTGAACGCTGGTCATCTTACTCAGCTGATTCGGAGGCAGTTTTGAGTGGTGTCAGCTCTGTTTTCAGTGCCTTTGTCTCTGCTTTGTGTGCTGTGTATCATCCCTTGAACACTGATGCACATCCACATTCCTGCTGTTTCCATAGCAGTGTGCATGCGTGTGCGCGCGTGTGTGTCAATGCAAGGGATGATAAGAATTCCTCTGGGAGGGTTTGATCACTGATGTCACCGTCTATTGTTTCTGCTCGCTGGCTCAACTGAAATGATGCTTGAGATGAGAATATTATGATGTGATCTATGAGAGTATTTATGAACATTCACGTTTCTAATTCATAGAGTTGTTATTTGTTGGTTCTTGCCTTTGTTTGACCTCTTTGTCCTGAATATCTTCTGTTGTCCCTAGTCAATAACTCCTTTATTTGTTCTACTTCACACCCACTTCTTGCAATTTGCTCTCAACCCCCATTCTCTTCCAGCAGCTCCGTAAAGCTTTGGGTGTATAGCGTAAACAACTGGGGATAGGAGTATAAGGTAATTTATCACAAGTGGCTGTGTTGGAAAAGGAGGTGTGTGGTTAGGGTCGATGGTTCATTGCACAGCCGGTAAAACCGAAAATCCCAAGAGAAGGTGGGTTGGGGGCGAACTCTGTCCCTTCCTTATACGCAGCACTAACATTTCCAGCAAATCAGCTGACCTTAATTGCATTCTTACTGCCTATGGGGTTTCCATTTGCATGTTACATTCGTCTCAGTGTTTGGCAGAAAGGGACTTATTCAGGAATGTGCTTTTGATGGTGTGCAGATAATCTTATTCATTATCTAAATAAGATTATGAATTATTACCTTTTATAAAGGTAATAAAAAGGAACTTATTATTACCTTTATTTTATATAACAATACTTTCAATTTGACAACATTTCACATCAGGACATGTTCCTTTCAGTACAAAGTATTTTGATAAATATGAGCCTTTGGTAAATAACAGCTAATGTGCACCTATTATTATATTTTTTTTACTTTCCCAGGGCTCCCTTTTACACATTTTCCATGTCACTTGGGTTTGAAACTTGCAACTGGCCAATGGTCATGTTCATTTTCATGACCAAAATTAGGAAAGTGAGCTGTTGCATTTTCATTTATCTAGCATGAGCAGGAAATCAGGAGAAATGCTACGTGAGGGCAGTAGTTTGGACATCTAACAAATGGACAGTCGAAGATTTTACAAGCCCACTGGGTAACTCACCATGGTGGCAAATGTCTGTTTGAAGACTGAAGATAAAAGTCATTTCTGTTCTGTTTCTGACCATCGTTATTGCTCTGATGAGCACAGGCATGCTTTGGGACATGCCTATCAAAAAAACAACAACAAAATACAATTTTTATGTATTATATTAATGATGAACTTATTATTACCTTTGTTTTATATAACAAATCCTTGTTTTACATGCGGGGGTTTACCTTTCTGACTTTAATGTGCAGCTCTCATAGGATCCTTATTTCATTTAATTATGACCATGCTATAGCTTTCGTACAGGAAGATTCACATACATGTGTATTATACCTATTCTTAGGCCAATAATAAATATAATACATGTACACAGAAGAGGTTGAGGGGAATTCGGTGCTGCCTCAATGACTTCAATTTCTATTTCTTCAGGTTCTGTGGCTGCACAAATATTAACCCAATCAATATTAATCAGGTTTGCCACCACGCTTCACTGTCAGTGTGAAGCGTTTGAGCTGTTCTGCTTTGTTTACCATTTGTAAAACATTGCATTGCACATTAATAAGTCGCCTAGCCCAAACTATGTCTTTCGCTGGTGTTTATCTTTATTTAAATAAGCAAATACGAAGTATTATGTGAAAACACCCTGAACCTTTGAAATAAGTGGATGCACCATCTCTTGTTTCAACATGTTCCAACCGGAAGCATCTATCTTGAAAAAGCGGTTTTATGACCACCCATCAGTCGGAACGAGACTTTATGCGGTGAAGTTGTTCTCCACCTGGTGTGTGGCAAAATCTATTGGCACTTCACAGTGGGAGTGGGACAATGAATCCTTGCCTCCTTCTGTGAGAACCAAGCCATTCTAAATATGAGGTGCATAAATGTACTATCTCTTTTAAAGTATTCTTGCCGAGAAACAGAAATCCATGGAGTGTCTTGAATTTTACACTGACTTTCTGAAGTCTAAAGTGATATGGCATCTCAGTGATATGACTGTGGCCTCTTGTTACACTTTCATTTTTGAGTTAAGATGTTTTTAAAAATCAGAAAAGCTCAGAGTTAACATTGACAATGCTACCATCAAAGAGAAAATGGTTTTGGATTTGTAATCTTTTAAAGTAGATCATGTAACAAAAATACAATATTCTCAAAACATACGTAGTTGTAACACAATTTTCATTTTTTTGACATTCATTTTTGTTCCATTTATACTCCGATTAACAAATTTTTGTTAGTTTTACAAAAACATAATGTCTGGAGTGAGCTCCAGTCTGCTATTAGTATTTCAGTTCATGGTGAGTCTCACTCTAATTGGACCTTAACTATGTTGTGTCCACGAGAAATGAAACGCTCTATTTGCAACCTTAAGAAGAGAAAATCAGTTTACATTAAAATGTGAACTTTGCTTCAATCATTCCTTTATTTGTTTCAAAATGTAGCAGGCTTGTTTAAACTCTCACTTGCAAACTTCTGGTGGTCAACTTTTGGGAGAAACCTCTATTTTATGGCAATGTACTGGAGTTGCACTTAGAAATCAACCCATTGAACTAAATGGTGATGAACTAATAGAAAACCAAAGATCTGAAACATCTTCTCTATCAGTGTCCCTGCCATGTGTAAACCCTTAACAGGTCACACTGACATCAACGTAAATCAGTGTAGATGTTGTGCCTGAGGGTAGAAGACTTAGAAATCTTTTGAATAGGCAAGGACATTTTATTTGTGTGACACATTTCTAGAAGCGAGGCATTTTATAGTGGTTTACACGATTAAAACAACTATGAAGTTTTAAATTTTATTTGATCACTAATGTTTGTATGTGTTTGCAATGCTTCAGTTCGACGCTATGAAGTTTACCAGAAATTGCCTTCAGTGTAAACAATCAGAGGCTATACGAGTCCTTGGACACTTTGTTCTGTATATGGATCAATAGCATTGAAAAATAAGTATAATTGAAGTCAGACATGGCACCTATATGGAACAAAAACATGACAACATCTATTTAACCAAGTTATTCATTCCTTTAACTTTCTCCCAGTTTATTTGTTGAAAATGGTTTTCAGTTGGATGCTCAAACAATGAAGTTTTGATGACTGGCTCGACTCCACCAAAGCCTCAGGCAGAAATGTTGTTTTCATTTATGGTCAAGTTGGAATCCTGTCAGAGTCTCTGTAGGTTCACTCAAGTGTAGAAGATTCTCCAAGCACAGTTTAGAGCTTTTTTGATGAATTTTATCTCCCCTTGTCACTTGTCTCCTCTACCAGGTGTAGGTTTGGCTCTGCATTACCTTTATCTCCCTTAGTAGTGCTGTCTTTCTTTCTGCTTTTTTTTTCTTTTCTGCCCTTTTCTGTTAATGCATTAAGACAAAAAAAAAAAAAAAAAAAAACGCCTGCTGTGTGACTAAAAACAAAGAAACAAAAAAGTGGAATGTGTAACAGTCATAACAGCCTGTGGTGAATTACCCCAAAACCGTGAAAGTGGCATCAAATCCCATTAATGTTTTTGTCACTGGAAATGGCTCCCTATTTGTCTGCTGCATGGAGATGAGAAACTTAATGACTTGTGTGAGGAAAAAATGATAGTGCTCCTCAGGTTTTATGTTTATGATACATTTTATTGTCATTTATTTTACAGAGTCACCCAACAGATGGTTACTCATCAAAGTAGTGCCCAAAAGTGCAACAAACATTGGACTTGCCGCAACTGCCTTTGGCAAGCATAATTTTGGTCATCTTCTTGAATCAAGTGCTGTGACTTTCTGAATTGACTCAAAAAGACTTTTACACCCAACTGAGGTTTTATATCAAAGGGAATGATACAAGTCATTAAGATTATTACTCCTGAAACCTGAGCATGTTGCTGGAGG